ATGAGAACTTTATAAAATTGCAAAGCTTATGACAAATATTTTCTATTCCCTGTGCACTATGTTAATATGGTAAAACATTCCAATAATTTTAAAGTTGCTAGCTGTTATTTATAATATTGTTTTCTTTTTGCACATTTACTTACCCCTTGAAATTTTTGCATACATTCCTGCTGCTACAGAATGACTGAACACCTGCGCCGCCAATTTCACCTTCATTTTCTGCTTGCTATTGGGATTTAGGTGATCTTTACTCAAACATGGAGCAAACACAAAAATATGGTTAGAATTGTCAACTTCATAGAATTGTTTTAAATGTGACCACTTAGCAATACCTGAAAAAATATACAACACTTTACTTACACAAGAAAAATTTTTATTAAATAAAATTAGTTTTACTAGTAACATAATAACAGTTTCTAATAGTAACATATTGCAAAAATATATAATTTTTGAATTTACATATATGTAATAAAACATATAATTAGTTTATTAAAAGTATTCAGTGTTAATTGTTAATTTAGAACACATTTTTTCTTTTAAAAATAAGTTATAAAAACTATTTCTAGGTTTGGCTATCAGTAGAGTTGATATTGTTATCAATAAGGAATAGATAATTTTTCAAATAATAATTACATACCTCTTCCTAACTTATTATCTGATGAAATATTCATATTGCATTCAATGTCATGCTTCAATAGTGTGTTTCGGAAACATTTCAATAAATGTGGAGGATCATAGAGAGTTACAATCTCCTTATTATTAAAATATATGCTTGGTTGCTCCTGTGATGCACCCAAAATAGTTAGTGCCCTTCTATTTACTCCATCACAGTCACAGACCATGGCTACTATGTTCAGTTTTGCTTCAAAACATTGCTGTAGTACCTTTAATAGAAATAAAAATATATATTAGTTAACATTTCCAAAAAAAGATATTTAACAAAAGTATGATTTTTAAGTATAATGAAGTAACTGTTCATGTATTCACCTCCTTTATGAGTACAGATAATCTATCTGCAGTCGAAAACCCACTGGAAAAATAATGGGCAACTGGCTGCTTCACCCTCTTTCTTATACCTACTATCATAAACACTAAAGCATATCCAGCAATAAGGGGTGACCTCCCTTGTCCAGCATGGTCCTGGAAACCTTCTATAAAGTCTTCTTTAACATTATATGATAAATTTTTCTTCAATGATATCTCATCGAACATCAATGTGTAGGCATTATCGGTGGGATCTTGAGTTTTAATAAAGTCCTCCAAGGTTTTAAAAATACAAAGATTGACTCCTACATTGAAAGGTATTTTATTTAATAATATTCTCAATGTACCAGGTGATGGCAAACAAAATAGTCTGCGCAATAACCTGTAGCATGTTGGAGACTTTTTATATATTCTCAATGCTGTAATTTTTTCTTTGTTAGACCATCTCCGACCAGTAGCCTTTTTTTTAAAGTTTTTTATTTGCCCCTGTAGTAGTAAAGCAAATGCTGGAGAAATTTTATTTGACAACTTAGTTATTGTTTTATTATCTTCTAAAAGTTTCAAAGTATTTTTTGCTTTTAAAGTTTTTACTCGAGATCTCAATTTGCAAACCTTTTTTAAATATTTGCAACACTTGGTGTACAGTTCAGACTCTCTTTGTGTTTTAGGTTTATACATAACAGGACTTGTCTTCTGATTTTGAATGTTATCATATCCAGATTTAATATTTTCTAAATTTCCCAAAGGTATTCTGTGAGAAGGGCCTGGCTGTGGCTCTTCAAAATGTTGTAAATCTTCTTGAGCCTGGGAAACCAAATAAGTGTTAATAATAACTAAACTTACTATATTATATATATAAATATATAACAAAAATAAGAAGCCTCTATTCAGAAAACTATGTACTGCATTTAAGTTGTTAACTTACATCAGATGGAAAGGCAGTTCTTATTAACTTCTTTTTAGAACTATCAGTGAAATCACAGTCCTTAAAATGTTTTTGGCAAAGCATTCTGTGTTCATTATGTAGTTTTGTTTGAAATGAAACAGAGTTATAGTCACCATCAGGGAACATATAGTTGGCCCATAATAAACAACTGAAAAGAAAAGTAAACAATATATTAATGAAAAATGCTTAAACCAGCCCATGCAAAATCGATCAAATATTTAAGCAAACAATATGTTAACATATCAATATCTATTTGCTGTTGCGTTTTGGATAGGTTGCAATATAAACGACATGGTAAATCTCTTCTACTTTTAAAAGGATCTTTAAAATAACGGTAACTAGTTATAATTATTTATGGAAATTTAGGTACTGAAATGAACTTTACATACCGACTAAGGTTCCATATAGAAGGTTTAGGAATTCTAAACAATTTGACATTGTCCGTAGCTGGAGAACAACCACATTTGAAACATTTTCTCTTATTTTCTTTATCGGCCATCGTGCTGCTGGAAATAATTCTTCTTTATGAAGATGTTTTTTCACAAAATACGATTACAGTCACTGTCTGATTTAAAGACACAACTCACTGCAATTTCCTAGCACATAAAACGGAAGAACAAAAGCTCAACTCGACGTTATAGTATAGAAAACGCAAATTTGTTTCAAACACAACCGATCACGCATGAAAACGAAAACCGATCGCCATTTTCGGAGCTGCCAGGCTAATGGAAGTATTATTAATATAAAGTTCTTCGAGTTTTTTTATTCAAGATAAAATATGCCATATATATCAATTATTTGATTATTCAAAGGCAAAGGCAAATAAATTTTAATAAAAAAAATAACATAAAAAGTATAACATTAATACAAAACGGTGAAATAATGATTATTTAAGTGCAATTTCTAATTACAATAATAACCAAATTAGAACAATTTATGTGTGCTGGCAACATTGATACACTTTCAAAAATTACGGATGTTGCCATTATGAAATTCTCTTGTTGCTAGAAGTAATAATATTCAGCCCCCGTAGGTATCTCACATCGCCTATACAGAGTTGCACCCCCCTGCTCTTTGTACTCTAACAGTGGTGGCCATATAAATAAGAACACTTCCTTGAAAATAGTACATTTACTTAAAAAAAAACATATAGTTTGTTGCATGTATTATTTTTTTTATTATTGTGGTTTTCCAAATTCTTCTATAAATTAGATTTAATAAACCACTAATAAAAAAATATAAATTACGCAAACTTAAAATATAATTTAAGAGTTACTTCTTACTGGTTGTTTCTAATTAAGAACGCAAACTGTTTTTTTTTATTCAAATTCAAACAGAACACTCTATGGTGTTATTACTATTTTCTCATAAAACTGGCGCCATTTAGTAGTGTAAATATAATTGGAACGTAATTTTTCAAATTATTATTTTGAAAAATTACGGAAAAAATAAAAATTGGGACCAATCTACAAGGTAATTATATTCAAACTTTGGGAGAAGAATTGGTTTTATAAAAATATTGTTGACCATCTACAATGTTCGAAAACCATGATCTTCAATGTTTTCTCACGAAACGAAAATAAATAGAGTGTGCTCTTATGAAAGGCGATCCGTACGTCACCCCTCTAATAAGGCATTTGACCCTAAGTTTACTAAGGTGGCTTTACAACATGGAGGTGGCAACCTGAAAATTTGGGGTTGCTTCTCTGGTCATGGAATTGGGCCTATTAGGCTTATAAAAGGAAACATGGATCAAGTTCAATACAAAATTATATTTGAAGAAACACTTGTTACCCTATGCTGAAGACGATCTTCCTATTATTTGGAAATTTCAGCATAAATAATGATTCAAAACATACAGCCATTACGACAAAGGAATTTATTCACTCTCAATTTAAATTTAAGCGAACTATACGACGTTTTCTTGGCAAAATAGTATTCTATTTCTCATGCCAAATATCAAAAATTTATAGAGTCAATGCCTCGTCGGTGTAAAGCAGTTATTAAGAGTCGTGTACATGCGACCAAATATTAATTTTAGTTTAAAATATGGTTAATTTCTTTTTTAATGTACATTTTTTATATTATAACAAAACAATTACTCTGTAATTCATTTTAAACATTTTACCAACAGCTTAAGAGTATCGTTTCTTATTATTTGTCCAGCTTCATTATCATATACTACAATACGGTACACAATAAATATACTTTTACAAAAAACGTTACTAATTTTATATGTATATCCTAGTTTAGTTTATCTTAACTAATTGACTCTCTGAATAGTAAGTAAATACTTACTAAAACTAATATTAAAAAAATAAATAAGGCAAGTATCATTAGATATCATTAAATTGTTCTTAATTATATGGCCACCACTGTATGCTTTGCAATTTGATCTATACCTAACTATAATCAAAGGTAATAAAACAATTTTTTTTATCCAATGAATTTATTAAAATTTCAAAAAATAAATAAGAAGTATTTGTACACACATACAAGTAAATCCATTACTCCTTGCGAAAGAGATCTTAGTAGATATATAAGTACCTACGTAGGCACAATATTCGTAATTTGCATAAAATAATTAGACAGGTCCAATATACAATACAATTTAATACTACACGTGTGTTCTATTACAACTACAAAATATAGTTAATAATATGCGTTAGGTAGGTTGGCATGTAAATAATTTCCCCGACAAATAAAAAAGGGATGTTGGTATATCATTATATAAACGGAAAATCATGTTTTTGATTTCAGTTCTTGAAAAAAAAAGTACAAAATCTACAACAAAAAGTTATACATACATATGTTTTTAAATACATACTACCTACATTAAAATAAGACTATGCAAATACATAATTATTGACTAGATATACCTAATTAAAATAATTTACAAAAATACTTCAATTATCGTCATAAAAAGCTCCAACTATTTTTATTTGCTCAACAATAAATAATTAATCGGTGTGTTGTCACACAAGTAATCTTATTTTGGTAATAACGAGGTCTTATTTGAATCAGCTTAAACGTAAAAAAATAACTATATATATTATAAGAAATGTGGCAAGTTAACGTTAACCTTCTTTCTTTTCCCTAAATACTTAGAACTAGTACCAAGTTAGTACACATTAGTTATTTTAACGCGAGCCTTGGTACGTGCGTTTAGAGAAGCTGCGCTTGACTACAAGTGCGCGCTTCTGTTTGTATGAAAGTTTGAGACAAGAAAGTTTTCTAAACGCACATTACCAAAATAATGTATACTAGCCCCTAGGTATTAATTGTTTACTTTCCAAGGATAATTTTGCGTGATGCGCCGAAGTTTTGACCAGACTGCGTAGCGACCTTGTTGGTGCCAGCTTGAAGACCGATAACGCCTTCGCCGGCCCGGAGGACATCCTCGCTGAATTCCCGACGATTTTCTTCAGCTGGTTTCGGACCGAGGAAGGGACCGCGCCATTCTGGGTGTTTGTATGCCTAAAAGAATTTTGATAATAAATTATCATTGAAAGAGATCTCGTGGTTGACCTGAATCTCAATTCTGCTAACATTACATGACGTATTAATGGCAAGTCAATGGTGTTGCAATACCTTTTGAGAGGCCTTACTATTTCAAGATTAGCTATCACATTGATTTATCAAGATATAATTGCAATAATAATATCGTTTCCAGAAGCGAAGTAATATAGGTAGTTTTAAAAAATGCAGCAAGAAATATTAGATAAATGTAATAATTATTTAGAAAGGGACTTTTTTTGGATTTCCTATTTTACTATTAAACTTGACTAAACTAAAATGTTCAAACCAGGACCCACATTTAGACCTAACGCTGCCACTGGTTGGGTCCCGCGTATATAATACAGTGCCTAAGTGCATTTAAACTGAGATGCCATTCTTACGTTAATAATTGAAACTTTGATTTGAAAGAAAAATAGCGAGTGTGCTCTTCGGGTTGATAGGTGATACACCTCTGGCTATAGCAAATCGCAGTTCTGAGCTATAAAAAAGGCTAGGGCAGAGGAGAAAGGTGATATCGTGCTGTCACCCAAGGGTCTTAATATAATTCGTCTAAAATGAAAATTGGGAAAATATCGAAACGTTTTTTAAAATTAAAATAAATATTATTATATTTGATCAATTTTGCATTCACAATGCTATACTGAAAAATACTCTTAATGAAAAATGCTCAAAAGAATCTACTTTGTCTCTGGCACTCCGTAATGAGACTTGAACCAACGACCACGCGCACTATTCATTAAATGAAACGACTATTTAAAGTCTTCAAGGTTTCATCGCGTTTGTGTTTTCTTTTATTGAAGTTTCAGATCTTTTACAGGTTCCATATTCACATGAGACTAAGGTGTAGATTGAATTTTTAATTAGGAGTATAGCTAGATACCTTCAAAACAATACTATTGGACACATTTGCAATACAAAAACAAAATATTATCTATTATGGCAACGTTTATATTTATTAAGTTATATTATTTAAAAAAAAAATACTTATTTATTTACCCCTGGCTACCGTAATCTACCACTACTTCCAAGTTTGACACATGACCCCAAATTTTGAACTGGTTGTTGATTACGGTAGCCAGAAATGTGTCCAATGGTATCCCAGATAGCAATTTAAACTTGTTATTGACTTGCAACAAGTTTGATACATCAAAAAAGAAGACTTTCTTCGAGGTTGCCATGACAACTGCAGCAACTTGCAGCAAGTTTAAATCAAACTTTCTAGTTTCAGACATGGACAAACTTGCACTGCCTTTGACGTATCAAAGGTAGTGCAAGTGTACCTAGGAAAATTATTATTACTACTACCGTAATAGTTTTTATTAATCTTTTGATCATTCAAAACTTTTGATCCAATCGCTTTTGGACCAAAAGTTTTGACAAAAGCGACTTTAAACTCAGACAGAGATATTATTTATACAATCTACCAATAATTCGGGAACCTATGAAGATGATGGGTGTGTTACATATAAGTATCTTTGTCATAACAATATTCAAACAATATTTTCGCAAACTTGAAACTTCATATTAACATAACAATGTTACAGCGACATTGTCACAAACTTGCCTCGCCATATTTGACGTCGCAATTAAGAATCAATGAAAATCAAACTTGCCCCAAGTTTCCAGGCTATCTGAAATTGTTTTATATACATTTTTTTTACTCTTAATTAAAACGACAATCGTCACCTTAGTCTCATGTGAACACGGAACCTGTAAAAGGCCCGAAATAAGTACAGACGCGGTGTAACCGTTTAAAAGTTGTCTCATAAGATAACAATATGTTTTTAAAGAGTTTTATAAAGCTCTCACCGTTCTTCCGATAGCGAAGATAGTTTGAGTAACAAGAGCAATGTTCTTTTGGTCCCATAAGTCTGTGGTTTGGAATAGGTCAACATCAGGTACTCCATACTTCACACATGCCTTCTGAAATCTGAAATAAGGGCATTATATTAGTAAGACTTTTTAACGGATTTTTGTTATACGGATAATTCAAAGTCTGAATTGATGAATAGGTAGTCAACTTTTCTATTCCATTAAACGGTATTCTACTGATAAACGTTACTATTCGAGTAAAGCTAAATTCTATTAGTGTATCTATACGTAGCCTGAGTATATTTTTGCGCACCTCTCCTTAAACTTACAATCGTATTTATAGTCGAGAGAAATATTTACTTGAGTATAGTATATGTCATAATTTATGCAGATATTTTTACCAAATAAACAAGGAATTTAAGAAAAAAATGTTAACAGTTAGAATAGTTGAAGCTATATTCTTACTTAATTAAAATTATCTTAAAATTCTCGTCTTTTGTGTAAAATATATGATTATTATGACATTTTCTCAAGTATCTTATTACATCTATCGAGTATAGGTACGAGTGCGACACCCGTATCTATAGTCGAGTAAAAGTAATTACTTAGAAAATATTTAAACACAACATAAGAAAGGATCTAACTGCTCTACTGAAAATTAAATTTCGATTTGATTTTTTGACATTTGATTAAAATAAATTTGAAACTTACTGGCTGATGTTGTCCATGAATTTGTAGTCACCTCCTGAAACATTGACCTTGGTGATGAGGCCAGGCTTCAGTCTGTTCATTAGCTTGCATAAAATGATGCCATCTCTTAAGGCAAGCTCGTAAGGTAGATTCGGTGGGAATCTCTCGCCGATGACAGCCTCAATCCATCTTTGAGCTTCCACTTCCTTTTCTGGTTCACGTTTACCAGCGCACTGTAAAACAAACATAAAATAAGGATTAATATAAGTTGTGCTATTTATTTTTCCGTAGGCTCAAGGCCACCCAGCAGGCAACGTAAATCAAAGTTCAAAGTATTTATTTGCTAAGAATAGGTATTACAAGATCTTAAAAGTATTGCCATCGCTATCCAGTTAATAATAATTAACATGCAAAATTATCTAGTTTCAGGAATGTGTTTATATTATACTAAATTTTTTTCACGAGCCATTCTCGCAGTCTTTTTGTCATTAAGCTCTTAGATCCATTCTTATATTGTTCAGGAATCTTATTATAAACCTTGACGCACATACAATAACAACTTTATTGACTTAATGAAGTCTTTGGTTTGTATTCCAAAACAAGTCTGTCACTATCTCAAAATATTCGAGTGTAGTAGATTGTCTATATACATCACGATCACTACGATCACTAGATAATTGATAATTTATTCTTTTACAATATTTTTTTTTCTGTTCACAATTACTACTACGTATATGTTCTCTAATGAATGAATAATTCAAAAATGTTTTCTCATAATCAGTGGTCGGAATTAGGTAGAGTTATTCATGTACTTACACTGATTTCATACAGCGAAAGAATAAAGTGGATATGCCTCAAATCCCGAGATTAATTTTAAAAAGCAGAAAAAATCCGTGATTTTTTTAATAAAAAGTTATTTACTTTTACACAATTTAAACTACTGCACGCACGACGTTGCCAAACTTACATCAATGAAAGAAAGAAATAAAGAAATCCCGGGAAGGTCCACATTCATATCAACATTTCGATGCAAGTACATAAATAACTCTACCTAATTCCGACCTCTGCTCATAATGCATATAGTCTATCAACTGATTGATCTTATAACAAATATTTCTTAAAGGATGATTATAATAACAATGCTCAGTGCTAAGATAATGACAGTTTTTAAACTTTTTAATTTAGTGTTTAAGTGCTTACTGTCTAATATGCTCATTACAATAATAGTGGTACGCTGTAATGAATTTTAGTACATTATACAATTCTGAAATAGATACAATAGGGTCACTATCATTTTCACCTATACAGATTATCACCTTATCATTTATCTTTGTCTCTAGATTTGAACATGTTTTTAAAATTTCTTCCGTGGGAGCGAATGGTTTAATAAATGCTGAAATGTGGTAGTCTTCATGATTTTTGTTACATCTAGTTTTCTTCATATCCACTGCCAAACCTGCACATTGTTGCGTTCCTACTATGAATATATATTCTTTTGAATAGATTGATGTTTATCTATCTCTATTGTGTTCATTGAGGTTTCAGGATATTTAGTATGTTTTTTATCTTCTTGAACAAGGTTTTTCAAGTTTTTTTTATTTGAATTTCTAGTTTAATTATATCATTTTTTGCTTTCTTCAAGTTTTGTTCCGACTCGTCAATTTTTTTTTGTAAGCAAATTATAAGGTCACTGTTGCGAGCATGATATACGCCTCGGCATCTGACCTCTCAAGGGAGTGAATGTATGCGCGCTCTTAATTCCCGAAGTCCCACCCTTGTTCTTAGCTATTGGTGTTCGACAAATGTTTTTTAGTGTTTCTATTTCCTTATTTAATTTGTTTATTTTTCTTTTAAATTCATTGTTTTCTATTATCGTATTTTCCAACTCTGTTTGTGTACTTAAGAGATTTGTTTTTAGTTCATATATACTTGGTGTTTCTCTGCGTGATCGTTCCGAACTTCTTTCCTTACTCGACCTTTGATATCTATGGCCTCCCCCATAGATGCCAAAGGTCGAGCCTGTGCTCAGTAGTAGGCGTTGTGTGGCTAGATTTGCCAGATGGCCAGGATTTCCCCGGAATATTGCTTAAAGTTTAAGTATTTTTTTGTTGTATTTACAACTTAACTAAGTAATTAAAAAAAGATTTAGCCAAATAAAGTATATTTTCATCTACCAATATTTCTAGGTAATTCCTGCTTAGTTTGGTCTCGGAGCGGAAACCAAAACTATGATTCCGTCCGTGGTTCCAAAATTATTCAGAAAATGATAAGCCTTGATGTGGCAACCCTACATATGGCTGTTGTTGTTGAAGATGATGATGATTATACTATACTGTTTGCCCGCGTAAGAAGTCAATGTCATTCGAGTATGCGTATGCTTTCGGTAGGCGAAAGTATTGTAATATATTTTAAAAATCTAATCCTGATACTATATACGTAAACGTCAAAAAAATATACTAAACTCAATGATACACTTCCCTTTTGAATTTCCAAAACTGATATTTATCGCTAATATGTAATTGACACAGACAGCCGAGGCCGCTATCTTTTTCAAATTTTCGATAACGTCTGTATTTTGTCGTTGAGGATAAAGATTCTCGATATATGAATCATACATAACAAAATGAAATTAACATATGTAAACCTATTTTAAAATTAATAAACGACACGCATTGTCATGATTAAAACAAAGAAACATTATCACAGGTTTATGTCCTCATACTATCTTTGTGCGATCAATACCAATGACATGTTTTTTGAGAAAAGACTAGTTGATTTCTACATGTCTGCCTGCAAACGAAAACTAATATTATTTATTTCTAAAAGTAATGATACAAATAATTCTAAATTAGGCGATGAACTTATCTAACCACTTATTTATCATTCGAATAATAAATTGTTTTAAAGATCTCTTAATCATGTGACCTGTCCATCTGCAGTTACTCACAATAAGACTGAAGACATGAAAAATATTAGATACGAAGAAACATACAAACATGCATCGTGCGACATTTCAACTCAATGTATTGCCGTAATATATTGATTATGGAAAAAAAAACGCTACCTGACGAACAAACAAACAAAATTAGTCATTATCATCTATTTAAGAACATCTTATATAATTATATTTGAAAAACTACAAATTACGAAAATCCAACATTCAATTACGAAAGTTGATAGTTCATATACACTACTCGTTGTTTTTGTGAGTATTTTCTAGACTGGCTAAAGTATGAATAGAACATGAAAATCTTATAACGGTGTTATTATTTTTTATTATAATATTTTTTATATAGAATTACACAAACCCCTGAAATGTAAGACGTATGCTGATAATATGTTAGTACGTCCAAGGTCACTATTGCGTACCGTCTTTAAAACTACGATTAGTGCCAAAATTTTAAATAAAAATATTTTACCGAGGAATATTGAGTGCCCGCACCCAACAACTGTGTGCATGGAATAAACTATATATGCAAGTAACAATGTTATTTATTAGTAGTTATTTATATGCCAACCAGTCAGGCTTTTTAGTTTACTTTACAGGATGATTAAAGTATAAAAACGATCAAAAGTCTTGATTACTCATAATTAACAGAGTTTTTATTTTTATTTAAATGTCAGCTGTTTAATTAATGCTAGGAGTTTGATTTGAATAAAACGTGTCTGGCACATATTTAGTATTATTATTTAATTTATATAAGTTCTTCAAAAAGGTCACCATCTCAGGTATGACGATGAAAACAAGTTTTGCCAAAATAAATATTATTGTAGCAATATAAATGCAAATTTTATATATTTTTTTTAATAATTTTGAAGGACAATCGTATATAATATAAAGCTTTGGTGTTATGGTTTCATCTATTGCCATTGTGAGTTTCAGTTCGAGGTTTCATTTTTGTAATTTTTCATTTTTTTTTCTCTTAAAAATAGCTTTCGTTCCTTTTTTAATTTATCTTAAATGGTAAAATAATGCTTGTGAATATTTACGTCTCATAATGGATATTAAATATTCCACTTACATTTACAGATTATTATTTTGATGATAATAGTAAGCTACGAAGATTATTCTTCAATTCTACATGAGATAATAAACAGAAAGACAGACAGAGCATCCCGTATATATGTGATAAGCAGGTACTACTCGCTTAAAACAATATGGCAGTCAAGCTTAACATATTTAAGTGATCGGTTTTCCGTAAAGCACTTATCAGTGGTAGGAAAATCGTATAACAAAAAAAATAATATTTGAAAATATACCAATAAATAAAGTGTTTTTTTTTTAATCTTAAAAATAATACTTGAAATACTTAATAATGTTATTCTTATTGATAACTTGTGCGTCTGTGATTTATAGTGTTTTTCAATTTAACCCATATTTCGGGGCTTTTCTGTTCTTTTACGTAATACCGAAGCAATTTTCATTGATTTTCTAACTCTGTGTGCCCAAGTAAGTACCTACCTAATGTTTTTGTTGTTTAATATCTATACTGAATATCATAAAGAAGAAACTACTGGACCGATTTTAAAATTTCTTTCATATACGGGTAGCTACATCATACAGGGTTGACATAGGCTATAATTTGCACGTGTGAAGTCGCGGGATAACAGCTAGTGGTGTTATAAAGAGGGAGGATGTGATTATTTGCATTGAATAGGCTCCGAAGTTACTAGATCGATTTTAAAAATTCTTTCACCTACGGCAAGCTACATGATAAGCGGGTGACATAGGTTATCTAGCTAAGTTATTTTAATTATAATTTAAGTTTAACTATTGTTAACTTGTGTATAGTTGTACACTAGTATTAGTAAGAGTGCGTTGCCCTTGTATAATATTAATGGAACGGAGCTGTAGGTCAATTCTGCTATCGTTTATAATAGGTAATCGCATTTCAATTGCTTTTGCCATTGTGTATTATCTACCTGAAGCCCATGATGTGATTATTACCTTAGTAAAATTGACTTACTGGTCTGATGATGGTAACTATTGAACTTCTATGATAAAATAACGTAATCTCGTGGAGTTGTAATATATAATTATTATTATATTCTAATAAAACAGCAATTGTTGAAATTTAATGCAACAACTTAATTTAAAAAACATAAAGGTACTTAATCGGGTTAATCTTCATTTTTTTAATAAATTTTGCAGTCACAAAGTCGTCTACTATTTATACATGTTTTGCCTATAATTCAATTTTTAAATATAATATCTAAAGGCCGAGAAATCTAT